CTCATCCAGGTTCCCTCTGCCTCCTGGGTCCAGGTGGCGAACTTGGCCCGGGGCTTGGACGGCTGCGACGGCTCAGGCGCCGCAGCCTCCTGAAGAATCAGGCGGCTCTTCCCGAATGGGAGAACCGGTCTGGTTCACTGCTTTGGAAACCCCTACACACCCTAAACCCTAAACCCTACACACCCTTAATCTAAACCCCTAAACTCTGAGCCCTCAAGCCTCAATCCACGCGCACACATCGGCCCACTACATGGTCCCTAGGCCTGAACAATTACAAGAGGCTTTGGGCCATATTTCAGTACCAAGATGTAGGGACTACAAGGGGAATTACTAATCCTGCTAACTATCCTGAAGGAGTCCTGCAAACCTTGCCTGAAGGAAACGAATCCGCGTGTCGTGCAAGCAGCGGCGCTGTCTTTCCAAAGCTGTACATTTGTCCAACATGTGTATTATGTTACTCATGGGGAATGTTTCGTTTTAGCGTGTCACGCATGGCTGTGTTAAAATGCGTGTACATGCATGTATGTACGCATGTCTGTCTGTCTGTATGTATACACAGCCCTACATATGTATATCTATGAATATATATATATGTGCATATACATTTACTTATTTACCTATACTTATGTTTCTATAGCTGTACACACGCATGCCTTCAAACAGCAACCTCTTGCAGAATCTGACTGGGCGGGTGCCTACCCTAAACCCTAACCCCTAAACCCCTAAACCCTAAACCCCTAAACCCCTAAACCTCTAAACCCCTAAACCCCTAAACCCCTAAACCCTAAACCCTCCAGGTCGGCTTTCTCTGGCGTCGGCGTCGGCTCTGCGGCGGCTCCTGGGTTTTGCAGCTGCGCGCATGTCCAGCTTGCTAAGAGGAAGCTCGCCCTTGAGTATATTCGTAAATAGTCATACATGTATGTATATATATATATATAAATACTTATATTTACATATGTATATATATATATATGTACAATATGTATTTATTTATCTATATTGGGGGATTATAGTCTCCCCAGAAACGTAGCCAGCGGCTTACTCTACTGCTTAGGACGCTTCTTCTTGCAGTCTTTGACCACCCGCTCTCGGCACATCCAGGCGAGGTTGATGGTACCAGTGTATCTACCTACCATCATCAAGTGTCAAGCGGGTCACGCTTGACATCGGTGCCAGACGGGTTGAGGCCTTTTTGGGTCTTGCTTGTACTTATAGTAGAATTTGAGGGTTAGGACATGTTAGGACGGATAGGAGTTTTCTACTTATGGCACAAGCATGGCAAGCCCAAACAACAGCTATGTCCGCCGGCAAGACGGTGAACTGAGAGACTAGGAAAGCATGACCGAGGCCGAGAACACTACATACAGTATCGTGATGCCGTCAGTTCGCTCGCTCGAAACGTGCCTCGTCAGACAAAGCCACCGGGCATGAACTCACCAATCGGCTTGCTCCGACGTCGTTTCGCGCCCAATGTCCCAGACTCTCTATTCTCCCAGATGCCAAGGTACCCCAAAAGCCTACTGAGGCCTCATGACTTGCGAAGTCTCAGAATAATCCTCCCCAAGGGTTTGTCATATCCATGACAGATACTCTGATAATCCAGGGCCTAATGCAATGCCCACACAGGAAACATCCCTGGAAAACCGTATAAAGTCATATTTGGGGGTAATAACCTACTTACTGAGTCCCTTGGCTCTTCAACTGCACTCAATTTTTTCATGCTGCTCTCCAGGCATTGAAATCTAAGGAGCTGCGCTATGGTGGGACACAATGCTGCATGCCTTAGGGCCACATGACCCTAAGCCGCAGATGAAGGATGCAGGAGCTCTGCTTCCGCTTCCAGCGAGCGATGCTGCGCGACTCATGCTGTACATGCCAACACAGCACTCCTCTTGACCAACCTCATCCCAGTGTCCATAGGGTTTTCCTTCTTTCCACTTGACAATTACGTTCCATTATTCCTCTTATCATACAACTCATGTACTCCCATTAAAGACCTACTTGAATTACAATTTTCCCTTGCGCTGTCTTCGACTCGCTCAAAGCAAAGGCCTCTTGAATGTCTCGGAAAGGGAACTCGTAGCCTACCACGGTCCGAATCTTCCCCGCGTCCAGAAGTCTAGACATTTGTGTGAGGATCTCCTTGTTGGGTTTGATGGACAAGAACCGGCCGATGACCTTCGGATACTCTGCTGCTTTAGACGCATTGATGGGCTCGTTGACTGCAACCAGACGCCCTCCTTGCTTCAGCGTCTGCCAAGATCGAGCCTGGGTTTGCCCCCCTACAGTGTCGAGCACCACATCCAGGTCACCGAGTACCTCTTCGAAGGCTGTGGTCCGGTAGTCAATCACAACATCAGCACCCAAGGATTTCACGAAGGGGTGTTTCTCGGCGGAGGCTGTGGCGATGACATGAGCACCCTTCAGCTTTGCCAGCTGTATAGCCATAATCCCAAGACTTCCGGCACCAGCGTGGATGAGAACTTTGTCGCCCTCTCTCAGCTCGCCTAAGTCGTAAAGTGCTCTCCAGGCAGTGATGCTCGCGATCGGAACCGATGCAGCATCCGAGAATGAGATCGTTTTTGGCATGTGGGCCAAGTGGTCTTCTGGAACTAAAATGTACTCCGCGTGACTTCCATTCCTCGTGACTTCGGGCCGACAGTACACCTTGTCACCCACCTTGAAATCTGTGACGCTTTCACCAACGGAGTCGACGACTCCGGAAAAATCCCATCCGATGATGTGGGGGAACTGGACAGGAATCAAGTCCGCAAGGACGCCGTTTCGAAAAAGCCAGTCGAGCGGATGGATTGACGTTGCGACCACCTTGCAAACCACCCCTGTGGCATCTGCAACAGGTTTCTCCACCTCCCTCAGCTTGGCGGAGGCACGATCGCAGCAGCCATCTATCTGCAGTGCTTTCATCGTCTCTCGGACTGATGCCATGGGTAAAACAAGGGTTTGTGACACAAAAGACCCAGCTGAGACCGGCTTTGCAGGAGAACAGCAGCACAGGAAATGAGTACCGGCTTTGGGATATTGTGGTTAGGGCGGCGTTTAGGGCTTGGCTGTCAGACGTGGGAGCGAACGTTTGGCACTTGGCTTGGTGTTCTATCTTTAATCAGGTTGGACAAGACTTGGTAGGTCATACCACGGTCATCTAGAGGCAACTTGTCGAGTCATACCACGGTCATTTAGATTTAGCTTGTCGTGGCCCTTCCGATATCTCAGCATAAAGAGGCAATATGAGGCAATGTTGAGGCCTGGGACGCTCTAGAGCTGGGTTCGAAGGCTCCAGGAGCGACTTGACATGCAGTCACGAGAGCGCATGTTCGCGACGTGCATCTCTCGCTGAAAAACCCAATTCGGCACCATGGCTATACAAGTGCTATACAGCTAGCTAAACCGTATCTACAAACCTGCCACTTTCCGCAATGGTGGATGCATGATGCGCTGAGCTAGTACCGAGGCAACAGTGTCTTCTAGAGGTGCCAGTGCCAATCACACTGATTAACCGAGCCGCCGGTAGCATCTTGCTGACACTGGAATTACAGCGGAGCAATCCAGCGCGCTAGCCGCCGTACTCAGGTGCCCCCAGACTACCCCACTCACAAAATTCTGAACAAACAAAATTTCAAACTCTCAGTCGAGCTTCTCCGGACGATCTGGGGTACCGTCCATGGCGCAGCACTGGCCTCTCAGGTGACTCCATGAAATCATTCCTGCGCATCGCGTCCTCTCGAAAACGACCCGGAGACGTCCCAACTCCCTTTCCCAGGCAATGTAGGCGCCTTAATATTAAAAAAGAGGGCTTGGGGTATATTATACTACAATTATAATGAGGAACCCCCCCAAAACCCTATTCTAATTATTGAGGCCCCTACATTAAGTGGGCACTCCTTTGGGAGGCTCCTCAACTTCGAAACTGAGCTGAAGAATCCCCGCCTGGCCAATGGGGCGAACCTCCATGGACCGTGGCATTCGTAGCGAAGGCTTGGGCACTGCCCAGCTGGGCCTATCGAACGGTTTAGGGTTTGCTTTTGCCTCCCGCCTGGCTAGGACGAACCTACGATGCATGGTCAGATACTGTTTAGGGTTTACGCTCTCACAACTCGGACTAGCCAGGCGAGGTTCACGGAGGTCTGTTAGGGTTTAGGTTTTATAGTAGGGTTTAGGGTGCCTTTCCAAGCCTCTGTGACATTGGCTCTCTGCATTATGTACCGTCGCCTCCTGCGGTCTCAGAATGCGAGACAGCACAGTCTTTGTTACACCTATGCCTTCTCTGCATTCCTGACGTCTTTCCCGCAGCCCCATCACGAGATATGCTTATGGCCGTGCCTGGAGCTGTATCTGCGATCGTGATTGGAGTCCTGCATTGGCTTCCGTGTGGAACTTATGGATTCTGCAATGCAAACCACGGTGATGAAGCAACACTCCTAATCTGCTGTGTCGGGTATCCCAGCTCTTACTTCTCCCGACGATCAAGGTTCATCATTGTATGTGGGCACTGACAGTTCTGGCGAAGGTTATGGCTGAACGGTCGCATTGCTGCTGCTATTCTCGGGCGGATGCCTTCCACCTAAGCTTCAACGTGAGCGTATAGGCTTCGAGAAATCCGACATACATATGCCGTTGTAGCTCTTGCTGCTGCTACAACTTTTGAGCCATGACCAGATGACTATCAGTTACCACTGCTACTACAAGGCTGCGGCTAGTATTTCAAGCACAACCCTGCACCTGTCTACAGGAGGTTGCGGTACAGCCGTCGCTACAACAACAAATGAAGAGAAAAGACAACACGAAGACCCCGTTTGTTTCACATCTGGCCTAGCCGGTAACAAACAGCCAGGGTCCGGAAACACGCATGGTACAAGTAGAAGGTTGTCACATGCGACTTGGCTTCTACCTTAACCCACCAGAACCCACTTTTTTTGGAGGGTCCCTATAAATCCCATATTAGGGTTTATAATAAGAACCTACAAAAAAGTGGGTTTTTGTTGGTTAAGGTACATACACATTCCTCCTGCCAGCTCGGCACCGGCTGGGCCGAAGGTGCGTCAGAGCTCGCCAAAGGCCTCCGGGAAGCCCGGATTCACAGGAGCTCAGGGTAGCTTCGCCAAGCTCCAGGAAGTTACTGGGCAGCTTGTCCTGCATGCCCTGTGGATGTGAGTTGCAATCATGGGTGCGCCAGATGACATGCAGTCAATCCTGTCATCCCCCTTACATTCTAGGGTTCACTCTGCGACGAGGATTTCCGATCGCTGAAATTTGTGTTGCGCCTTTGTATAGACCCCTAAACCCTAAGCCCTAAATATACTTGCTTGAAGGTCAGAGCTGGCCTTTGGTGGAAGCGATCGGCGAGGACATCCTGAATCTGCTGTGCAGCACGCTGCTGGCGAAGCTCCTGGGAACAACTCGGAAGTGCAACATGTGCAGTAGGCCTGTGCTAGGAAGATCCCGCGACCCTCTCAGTCTTTCAAATCGTAGGATTGACCCGCAACACTTTGCCCCGCAGCTGAAGCACTTCGGCCACTGCACGCTCCGAAGCCCTGCAACATACTGCCGTGCGCTCCAATCCCGGGAGCATGGGCAATCTGTCATCTCGTTTCAAAGCCAAAGGAGCCATCATAACCGTTCTGCCTGCATAAGAACATACATGACATGCATGCATGCATGCATGCATGCGTAGATACATGGCATGGTACATATGTACATACATAAATATATAGATACGTACTTACATAAATACAGAACTTAGGTACCTACCGACATCATACATATATGCATGCAGGCATGCATGCATACATACACACATACACGCACATATGCATACGCGCATAAACACGCACCCCATCCACTGGCAAACATATAACGAGATGTCGCGAACCTTACTACATGCACAGCAACTGCTGTACATACTAGACGGTTCCGAAAAACAAGAGACTATGCATGCCAAGTTTGGTTTGGGACAAACAAGACTTAAAGACTGCACAGCACTTGGTGAAGATTGACGGCCCTGGAGTGCTCTGCATTCTCTACACGGTAGCTTTGGCAACATATACGGACAGTACAGCACTTTGCAAATCCCGAAATCCTGACGTGCTGTACTGTCTCTTTTTCCGTATTTGGTAGAGGAAAAAATCAAGGAAGAGCGCCGAGCTTTGAATGCTTGCTGTATTGTCCCTGGAACTTGGGCTTGGCAGCCGCAAAATTTCGGGACAGCACAAGGTCCAAGAGTACCAAAATGCTGTCCCGTCCCCTCTCATTCTCCGGCAGCCTTCACGCTCTCCGAGGCTAAAGGTTTATGGAAAACAAGGCTTTTGGGTTGTTTAGTGACTGTACAAGCCCTTTTGGCTTTCCAAAGCTCAGAAGCAATAGAGGGTTCTGTGCAATCCTGAGGTCCCGAAAATTTGGCTTTTGCAGAAGCAAAGTTCAAGGACGGAGCAGCATTTCGGAGATCCTGGAATCTTCAAGATTTGCTGTAGCGTGCCTGAAAATTGGGCTTGGCAAGAACTCAGGGACAGTATCATTCACAGCTTTCTGCTGGAGCGTCGAAGTCCACATCGGTGACTGCAGAGCTACACGCCGCCCTGGTTGTTGCTCTCAAGGAAATCAGGCATAGTGCCGGTGGCTTGGCTTCCACATGTCAAAACCTGTACATGGACTGGGCTGAGCGGACCTTTCTTGAGAGGGTTTGGTTGCCTCGGGTGCGATGCATGCTTTTCAGGAAGCCACGCAAGTGTCCCAGAAGTGGTTCACGATCTTAGTGCCGCTTTTCACGGAGAAAGTTGCTGCAAGGCAGCTTCGCCCTTGTACACTTTTCGTGTAGTGGCGCTTGACCCCGTGAACCTCTGCAGAAGGTATCCGAACGGAATTGATCTGCAGCCTGCTGGTGATTGAGCTGGGGCACTGCCATTGATTTTGCTGGTGGACGACGTTAGAGTGGATCACCTCCAGGGACTTGAACTTGTAGGCCCGTCGCTCCCACTGTTGGGGAGGAGCCTCTTCGCTTTCGGACCGGTCCTGGGCCCGGGGCCCGTTTTTTGTGAGCTTCGGATCCAGCTTGAAGAGGTGAGCGGATGATGCCTCACCTCGCCGAACGATGCCGCCCCGTTGTTCCCACTTTGTGTTGAAAGGTCCTTCGACGGTGCTTTATCGCGCCTTTTTCTCCCGATGTCCACCTGGTCGACTTCCACATCTTCCCAACTGCCTCCGTTCGTGATGTCAAGCAACCTCGAAGTTGGCAAGGACTCTCTCCACAGGCTTGTGGTCCATGTGACTAAGTGAAATGCCTGAGAAGATCCCGGCCATTGCAGTGTAGAGCATAGCCGACTTCTCATGCAGCTTCGTCTAGGAGTTGTCTGCAGCAAGTAGGAAGATAAGGTGCAACCCCAGTATTTTGTGGCAGCCGCGGCGAAGGAGCTGCTATACATGCATGTACATACATACACATGTTTGCATGCCACTGCATGCTCTATCTATCTATCTATCTGTCTCTCGAGTAGCTCTAGTATCTATCTATCTATCTATCTATCCATTGCTCTGTCTGTCTGTCTGTCTGTCTGTCTGTCTGTCTGTCTATCTTTATGAGGATCGCTAAAGATGCCTGGACATATGTAATATTTCGTAATACACCGTTGCCCTGGAGTAGGAGCTCAAAACAGGCACCAACACATAAACTTTTTGAGGTAATATACCTACTAGGGGGTAGGTTTCAGTAGATATATCTTCCTAAACCTCACAAGCCCTCTAAGCCCTGCTAGAAGCCCTAAGCACCGCCTTAAAGCATGTCCTCCCAAACACTAAAAGCCCTCTAAACCCAATGATGAGCCCAAAGCACCGCTTTCCAGATGTCCTCCCCTCCTCCTAAACTCGAAATGCCTTATAAACCCTACAAGCGCTAAAGTTCCTAGAGTTCTCAGATCCGTTAACAAATGTCCTCCTTTCTCGCGGCTGCCAGATTGAGCCGCTCTCTGCGCTCCGATGGGCGCTCGCAGTCTAAAGTGGATCGAGAGATCACAGGAATCACCTGGAGCTGCGGTTTTACACAGTTGCTCTTGTTATGTTAGACAAAGGTTCTACTGCAAGCAGGTCTTTTTCGGGCTTTTTACAGTTTAGGTGGCATCTCCCGGGATCAAAGTTTATTTTGTTGTGTCCTCCAGCCATTTTCAGATGGTTAACTGCTTAGGGAGTCCAGGGTTCAGGCTTACGGTATGCTAAGTATTCGCTTCATCATCCGAGTCGTGGCTTCGCAGGTTCGGGTTTTGGGCTTGTCTGGACAGGTAGAGTTGGGAGCCTCTGAAGAGCAGATTCAACCCCTCCGAATCCAGAAGCAATTGCGGTCAAGTGGCCGCTTGCTGATTGAGCTTCTCCCAATCGCCTCCTACGCCATCAAACACCCGCGGGTCCATGCCCGAGGATTTCCCAAAGGCCATAAGTGCTCAGCAGCACGAAGTTATCAGGCCTGAAAGATCAGTTTTGGCACAGAACTCTTCACTGACCTTGGCTGCTTGCAGGTCTTGCAAACAGCCTCATCTGCGGCTAAGAAGGTGACACACTGTTGCTGTTGCAGGTTTGGGTCTGGATATCGCGGCAGCAAGATTGGTCAGCACTCGAAACAGGAAACCACTAGTCCGGTAAATGCGAACACTGTCTGGACATGCCCGTGCTTCCTATTCTCACGACGATGGACACCCTCACACCGCTCGTCATGCGCCTCTTGCTTGCAGTGCTTCGGTCCTTCTGAAAATCGCAGCAGTGCTTAGCGGCTTAGCGGAAAACCAGCCTGTGGACTACGATGGATTACGACGATTACGATATTGAGCATGCAAGCTCACGTGAGGTTGCAGCTCGATTCCACCCTTCAGCACTGGTGTCAGCTCTCGTTTGTCCGCTATCAATCCCGCGTACGCACGCTGGCGCAAAAGCACGGGAAGGAGCGGCGGGCACCTTGGCATGTTTGTTGCTTCACCCTCAAGATAACACAGGTTCACGTGTGCTTCCAGGTCGGCAATGAGTACTTTTGAGTACTTGGCATCTAGAAGAACAGCGGAACGCGACGCAGCCGAAATTTTTTTACAACTCACGATTGCAAAACAACAGGCGAGACACTGCTCAGACTCCGACTCTAGAGGCTTCGCGGCTATTTGCTGAGGCTCCCGCGTGCAGGTCTAGAATCGGCAGAGCTCACCTTCACCTGGCAAAATTTGCTCGGAGGCTTTCCGGCAGCACGGGAAGCTCTTGCGCAGAGTGTCAGAAAGTCAACCAAGCGGAATTTCCATACAAGGCTTGTGCAATGCAGCCGCCTTCACTCTCCAAAGGCAATGCAGCCGCCTTTACTCTCCAAAGTTCGCTAGACTAACTGCGAAAGCAGGAGCCGTTCTCCGCCTGTCTTGGAGATAGTCCAAGCCGCAATAAAGTCCTAAACTGAGATCAATTCGTATTCTTGCCAAAACTGAACATACTACAACGAAATAAGGTTTGATACATCCATGTTGCTAGGATGATTATGACGACTATTTGTAGATGTACAGTCTCAGTATGTCTCATGATCCGTCATCATTTTTCACGCTTCTTTTTGTGGCAGTGCGGACCTCCGGGTCCTAGGATCCAGCCACACAGAGATGTGCAGAAATCCCCATTTCCCGTTAGACTCTGATCCACGACACACGCAAGAAAACTCTAACTCTGCAGCTACTTTCACATCCTTATAAGCCAGGGAAATAACGGAAATAGATTCCCCCAAGTTGGAACTCTTTACTACTGAAGTACTGACAAGTACAGTAGACTACTAGGAAGCCCTACCTAATCTGGGGCCCCATACTAAAGCCACCCAAAGGTATCTCATAGGGAGGATACTGTATAGGAGCCCTGAACGCAAAGCCCCAAGCCCTAAAACCCCAAAAGCCCTAAAACCCCCTCACAGCGACAGCAGGCCTCCGATTTCCACTTCGACTCGCTCGGGAGGGCGGGGCTGGTCCTGCCACCAGGGGACCTTGCGCTTAGGTTTAGGGTTTAAGGCTTTAGGGTTTAGGGATTTAGGGTTTTTGGGTTTAGGGTATAATGTAGATACCATGCCAACTACAGCTACACACAGATAGTACAAAAGCAAGCTAATGTTTTCTGATTGCCTGTCATATCAACAGCCAAGAATATGCACAAAACACTCCCTCTCTCTCACACACATATACGTTTATGATGTAATTTGAAGATATGTGCTTTTTTGTTCTCTACTGGGTTGGTAATGGCTTAGTCCTCAGGGTTTGGAGCCTGGTTTCGGCGCTGATTCTCGGACATGCCAGGCGAGGTTCTTGTTGCTTAGTCGGCGGGATGTGAAATTCGTGTTCACGGCTGTTCCACACACGAGACACCTAAACCCTAAACCCCAAACCCTACAACTCTACAACCCTTAATGAACCCTAAACCCTAAAACCCTTTCTTGAGCAGGGAAAACCCTAATCCCTAAAGCCCGACCAGCCCAATCGACGGACTCTCATCCTTAAGGAAAGAAGCTCGAAACAACGAGATCTTCAACTTAGGGTTTCTCGACTACCCTAATATAACCCTAAACGGCCCTAAACCCTAAACCGTGTAAACCCTAATCCCTAAATAACCCTAGATCCTAAACCGTGTAAACCCTTGAGAACATTCCGCAGAAAACCTGCTACAGCTGAAGCGGCGAAAGACTCAAGCATTGGGCAGCTGAAGCCTAGTAGAACCCTCAGACACCTGTTTCTTGGGGTTTATTCTGTTTTTTGGGGTTTAGGGTTTAAGGATTTAGGCTTTAGGCTGTTTTTTGGGGTTTAGGGTTTAGGGTGTTTGTTTGGAAATGTTCAACGTTAAAACACACAGAAGACTTCGGTTGAGGCGTATATTCCTAAACTAGCAAGACCTTGAAATGAATGAAGAGGGGCTCCGAAATTACTAGTATGAGACTCAGGGATCCCCCCAGAAATCGTCGGCTAATCGCAGGCAGCATCCAAAAGCTGAGTTTCGTACTGATTGGGCACTGGGTGTGCTCCCTCCTTTCATGCAACTTCGTAACACTTTTTTAAAAGGGCTCTGTGGGGCTGCCTTTAGGGGCTACCCATAAAGGGCTTGGGAGTCGCTTGTTTTCGCCTGCTGTATTGCTTGGTCACTTGGCAGGGACAACAGGGAACACGGCATGTGAGATTTGGTCCCCCAAAGACAGAATTTCACATCGGGGTTTAGTTTTAGGCGTGCATTGGGGCAGAGGCAGCTGTCTGATTGCGGCTACGACGCACTCTGGTTTCAGCACTGTTCATGGGTCTATCAGGCCCTCCCATAAGCTGCAGACGTCGACCGGAATTTCATCCTCGAACCTTGGCCGGCGCAAAAAAAACACATCTAGCATGCTTCATGTATCCAGGTCCTGAAGATCCCACCCAACTGCACAATATCAACACCAGGTCCTCTTTACTCAGGGCCAGTGTCTCCAGTGTCATGTGCACAGATTATCCTTGCTGTATCATCTTGCATTATTTTCCAACCCTCTCCGACGCCCGCACCCGGACGGTCAGGGCAATAGCATACAACCATTGTATTTATTACCTTGTGTTATCTTGTATTATATTCAATGGCATCGTCGCTGAGGGCCGAGCGCATCGACAGCTGGCTCTGTGGCCGACTGGCCTCAATGGAGAGTCTGGGCTTGGATTGGAGAGGCAGCGCATTTCGACTCTCACGCTCGCACCAGGCAGGCAAGGNNAAGGCGCGCTAGCAGTTTTAGGGGTCTAGGGTGTGGTGTAGGCCCATTTAGGCCCCGGGGTTTCGGGTGTAGTGTACCCCGTTTGTTTCTGCAGAAAACGCCACACATCAGAGACTGCTTTTTCAGCGCGTGCTAGGCTGGCTCGGAATCCATGGCTCTCGATCTGAGGAGACCCTCAGAACGACCCTGGTGGCAGGACCTGTGCCATGATGAGGCTTCACAGTTTGGGGGGTTGTTCGGGGCTCGAAGCAACCGACACTCACAGCACACAATCAAGTTGGGGTGGAGGGGGGGGGGGGTGCTGCGTATATCTTGCAGGAACATCGAGACGGCTGTAAGACATGAAGGGCTCGTGATATCTGCTGGGAAGCTGTCAGTGGCGGAAACCACAGACTTTGGGATGATCTGCCAGGCCGTCANNCATGCAAGCTCTCTGCGATATATGGAATTTTAGACAGCAAGGCATCCATCCAATGCAAACCCTAAGTTGCAACACTGGTGAGGCCTACTGTAAGGCCCTTATACTCACAGTAACGACCCATCAGGAGCATCCCGGATGCCTCAACTTCCTGAACCTCTCTCGTTTTGAACGCCTCAGAGAGGTCGTGCACCC